TGTGTGTGTGTGTGTGTGTGTGTGTGAGAGAGAGAGAGAGAGAGAGAGAGAGACATCATCATCAATATTTTCTATGTACCAGACAACTGCCGCTCGAAAATCGCAGTGTATCTGTTTCATACAAAACACAGCAGTCGTGAAAGCTTCCAGAACTGAAAAGGCTATGGTGTACTCTTTCTTGTAATTTTGAGTACTAGACCAACCTGCTAACATGCAAGTAGGTACTAAGAATGTAGTCAACACCACAAAGAAAAAGAAATCCCATCTAGACCCTAGGCTACCAGCTGGCCTGGCCGGGTCACTTTGTTTTCCCGGGCGGCCCGGTCCTGCAAGGACCAAAGAAGGTCCCAGCAAAAAAAACAAAACAAAAATCCAAAAAATGTTTAAAAATCTGCAAAAACAATGTTATTCAGAAAAATAAACTGAACAACTTTTGCCTCAAGGTCACATCGAAATTCTTTACCATTTTTTATTTATTTGCTTTTTTTTTTTTTTTTTTTTTTTTTTTGCCCGGCCGGGCAAGGGGTCCCGACTCCCAGGCGACTCTGGTAGCCTAGACCCATATAAAGCTCATATTTGAGTAAGGAAGGCTTAGGAAGCCATCGTATTGTTTCAACAAGTTGGATCTTAACTGTAGAATTCTCACATTGTATCCTATATATGTATGTATACATATATATATATATATATATATACAGGGTTGCCAGCGTTCGGGACGGGCCGAATGCCCGAACCCGAACGCCCGAACATACGGGACCCCTTCGGAAGGCGTTCGGCCGTTCAGGCCGAACGCGGACCAAAAAAAAAAAACAACGTTTTCAAAAAATTCCGAAAAAAAAACTACGTTATGGAGAAAAATAAACTAAACAACATTTGCCTGGGCACTACATCCAAATTCTTTACCAAATTTGAATTAAAAATCAAATACAGAAAGTAAACACTATGATACAAATAAGAAAAAATAAAAAGAGAATTAAAATGAGTGAGTGTGCAGCACCTTTTCGACACCGCCATCTTTGCCGATTTTTAATTATTTTTCGGCATTGACAAATGCCCTGAAAATTTACAGATATGTAGTTTACATAATCAATAACTCATTAATTTTTTTTCGAAAAATAATAATTTTTTTTTGGCCCCTTAATAAAGGGAAAACAAAAAGTTAAAAGTGAAAAAAAAACAAAATAGTGAGTGGGCGAGCATGTTTTGATACCCCCATCTTTGACGATTTTTCATGTTTCATTGGCTCAGCAGAATGGCTTCAAAATTTATAGGCATGTAGGTTACATCATAGAGAACTCACAAAAAAAAACTCAGAAAAAAAACGTATTTTTAGGCCCCGAAAAGTTTTTTGGCGGGGGCGGAACCTGGAGGTGTTCGACCCCCGAACGGGACCCCGAACGCCCGAACGTTCGGGGGCCAGCCCGGAGGCCCCCGAACGTTCGGTCGGGTAACCCTGTATATATATATATCGTCAAATAGAACTGCCCGGTAAACCGTAGGCAGAGAGGGAGAAGAGGACAACAAACGAGGGGCTGTGACAAACTGTTTCGTCGGAGTTTATATATATAGGGTAACCGGCGTTCGGGACGGGCCGAACGCCCGAACCTCGAACGCCCGAACCTGAACGCCCATACGTATGGGACCCCTTGGGGATGCGTTCGGCCGTTCAGGCAGAACGCGGACCCAAAAAAAAAAAAAAAAAAAAAAAAAAACTCATCAAAAGAATTTGAAGCAAAGATATGTTATGAATAAAAATAAATTAAACAAGATTTGCCTGAGCATTACATCCGAATTCCTTAAAAAAAATTAAATAAAAATAAAATATGGAAAATAAATACTAATAATAAAAATAAGTAAAAATAAAAAGAATTAAATTTAGTGAGTGCGCGAGCATGTTTTCGACACCGCCATCTTTGGCTATATTTCATTTTGTTTTGGCATTGCTAAATGCCCTGAAAATTTACAGATGTGTACTTCACAGAATACAAAACCCACTAAAAAAGTTTCAAAAAAAAATAAAATTGTTTAGACCCCGAACTATAGTGAAAACAAAAAGTAGAAAGGGAAAAAATACGTGGGCGAGCATGTTTTGACACCGCCGTCTTTGGAGATTTTTAATTCTTATTTAACTTAGCCAAATGACTTGAAAATTTACAGGCATGTACATCACGTGATTCACGTCATAGAGAACTCAAAAAAAAAAAATCAGAAAAAAAAAAAAAAAATCATTATTTTTAGGCCCCGAAATATTTTTTGGCGGGCGCCGAACGCCGTCGGGTTCGGACCCCGTACGGGACCCTGAACGCCCGTACGTACGGAGGTCTGCCCGGGGACCTCCGTACGTACAGGCTGGTGACCCTGTATATATATATATATATACTATATATTTTTTTAATATATATATACTGTATATATGTTGTATATACTATATATAGGATATATATATACTATATGTATATATTGGCAAAGAGAACTGGAAGTTGCACCAAATACAGCTATAATGAGGGGGGCTTTTTTTGTTTCCTTTAATGATCTATCCTTCCACAAGTTCACCTACGGAAACCTCGTTATGACTTCTCCTTCCTCTAAGGTTCAATGAACTTGTCTATCCGGGTGAAGACGGCTGTGCCTAGGGAATTTTGGTAGAAGAGTAATTGTTCAACAATACCAAGGGTGGGGCATGGTCCCACTAGTAAAAAGAGGACTGGATTTAACACGTGAATCAGGACTTGTTTGTGGAGAGGTGCACGTGTTTGTGGAGAGGTGTAGATAATCACAATCGATCTGTTTGTCTGCATCTATACCTAGAACCCATATAGATTCAGGCGCTTGATGCAGTCCTCTTTGCTAGTGGGAGTGCGCCCCAGGGACAAGGGGGGTTACGTAAACACGAGAAACAACTAGGCTACCAGCCGGGCCGCCCGGGTCACCTTGTTTGCCCTGGCTGCCCGACCGTGCGAAGATCAAAGGTGGTCCCAAAAAAAAAACAAAAAACAAAACCAAAAAAAAATCATTATGTTATGCAAAATAGTAAACGCTGGCCCCTGTTCCCAGTTTTGTATATTAATGATTTATTGTTGTGAAACACTCACTCGTCGCATGCTTTCTCGTGGCCATTCCCCACCAACCCTCGCTAAAGGATGGACCTGCTACACACGCTCCCGCCAACGTCGCTATCCTACACATGTCACCCGTCTCTCTCAGTGGTTCCGACGCATGCTGCGATAGTCCTTGCATCACCCACTTTCTTCTTTATCCCCACATCGCGCTCGTCCTATCACTGCTTGTTCATCTACTGCTAATGCAGTTCCCACTGTTGCGGTTCCCACCGCCGCCGCTTCCACTGCTGTGGTATCCACTGCTGCAGTTTCTACTGCTGCTGTTTCAACTCCGGGTT